CCTAGTCAATGAGATGTGGCAGATGCACAAATAAATCTGAGCCATGTCAATCCATCATGTCATTCTTCTGCTGGAAGATCTTCAGGGGTTCCCGGTGGCCTGCATGACAGTGTCCAAAGGCCTGAGCTTAGCTGCTGAATCTTCTCCCCATCATCCATAACTGACCCACTCGGTCTCAACTCCAGCCCATTCCTCCTCATTCCTGCATCACTCTGCCTTCTCTCTTCCAGCCTTGCTGAATGCCAACCTGGCATGCCTCTGGATCTTTGCCCAGGCTCTACTCCTCTCCATTTGACAAACTTCTACACCCTCTTCAATATCTTGTTCAAATGCCCACTCCTCCACCTGTCTTCTCAAGCAGCCCCAGGAATTATGGTCTCTTTTATGTTTGTGTTTCCAGAATACTGGATGCAAATGTTTATTTCAGGACTTATCATCTTTTTTTTTTTTAATGTTAATCTTCCCCATTAAGCTGTGTGCTCTTTAAGGGCAAGGTTCATGACTTATGTCTTAACTAGAGGCCCGAAGCATGAAATTCATGCAAGGCACTCGGCTCCCTGCTGCTGCCATGGCCACGTCTGCCTCAGCCCCCATCACTGGCTTCATCCAGAAGGTCGTCTGGAAGGATGCCCAGAAGAACGTCTGGAAGGATGTCCAGTCTAATTAATATATTATGCTTTTATTATTATAGATAATATAATAGCACCTGGCACACATTAGGGGTTCAGTAAATATTTATCTAATGAAATACAGATACACAATAAATATAAGAAAAAATGCTCAACTTTTTTAGTAGGGGAAATGCAAACTATAACAAAAACATGATGAGATGCCATTTCACCTACCGGAGTAGCAAAAATTGTAAAAGATTGATAATAATCAGTTTTGATGCCCTTTCTACCAGCATGGGCTGGTAGAAAGGGCATTGCTACAGTATTTTAGAAGATAGCGCCATCTGCTAACAATTAAAATGTATACACCTGTTTGCTCCTTAATAATGCTATTATACATTTCTCCTATAGAAATAAAAGTGCCAGCATGTAAGATGTGTTAGTTATCTATTGCCATGTAACAAATTGCCCCAAAGCCCAGCAGGTTGGAACAACATCCAATTTGTATGTGTCAGGAACCCAGGCACTGCTTAGCTGGGTCCTCAGGCTCAGGGTCTCCTGTGGGACTGTAATCAAGGTGTCTGCTGGGGTTACAGTCATCCGAAGGTTTGACTGTGGAAGGATTGTGTCCAAGCTCACTTATGTGGTTGTTGGAAGGATTAAGCTCCTTCAGAGCTTTTGGACAGAGGTCCTCAACTCCTCAGTGGTGATTGGCCAGGGGCTGCCTCAACCTTTGAGGCAGAGTTCAGGGTCTGAAGGAGGAGCCAATAAACAAATGAAAATGCTATAAAAAAAAATATGAATTTAGAAGGCATTGGGGACCAGGTGGAGACCTCTTTCTTAAAGAGACACACCAACTTCTCAGTACTGTTTGTTTTTTATTCACTTGAGAGAAGCCCAGGCCTGGCTTCTCTGCAGGCATATCAAATGTAAAGTCTGATAAACAATAAAAGGATTATCAAATAAGGAAATTGCCTTGAACCACCACTATCTCAACATGAACAATCGGTACTTAGTGTCAGCCCTGCTAGCACCCAAGACCCATCGGCCTTCCACGTTCCTTGGTGCACTGACAGTATTGGCAAGTGGTGGAGCCACCCTCAGTTTCTCACCAGGTGACCCTCTCTGTCAGAACAAACACATGAAAAGAGCTATAGAGACTACCAAGAAGGCAAAACTTGAGGTGTTTTGTGACTTATTCATGGAAGTGACATCCTATCAATTGTGTCGTATTCTATTCATTAGAAACAAGTAACTAGGTCCAGCTCCCACTCAAGGGGAGGCATACACCAAGGCAAGAATACACAAAGTAGGGTCATTAGGAGCCATGTCAGAAGCTGTCTCCAACATTGTGTGTGTGTGTGTGTGTGTGTGTGTGTGTGTGTGTGTATGTGTGTGTGTGTGTGCACATCAACCATGAAGAAAGCTATAAAAAGAACACTCCAAATGTTTAAAAGGGTTTACTGGGAAAGGGGCAGGATTTCAGATGAGGAAAAGTAGAAGCAAATTCTTGATTTTTTAAATAAATCCCTTTTTTGTTTGACTTTTTAAAAGAGGTATGTATTTGCTTGGTAACTTAAAAATTAAATAAATATTAATATGAGGCAATCAATGCCAAAAGTGCATGGGAATTAAAAAAGAAAATCCATCCTAGCTTAGAGAGAGAGCAGGAGGATCAAGGAACGCTTCCTGGAGGAGATAGTGTTTGGAATGAATCTTGAAATTTGAGTTGGGGTCAGGATGTACAAAAACAGCAGAATGACAGGAAGGAAAGAGGACAACAGAAGGCAACTCAACTGCCCCAGGGCCACAGTGGTCAAGATGACACAGGCGGACACAGCACAGGTGCTCAGTGGAGGCACCCAAGCCAACATGGCATGTGCCTACCTGGCTGTCTCCATTCCCAAATCAGAGGGACTGCAAAAAGATGTGTAGAGGAAATGAACCCCAGTGTCTCTGGCAGAAGGTTCTAGACCTTTGTAGCTGCTCAAACTACTTCTAAACTCTAGAGTCACGAGCACCAGTCCCATTCTAAGAGGTCCACGGCAAGGGCCCTTAGGAGCCTGAAGCCTGGCCAATCAAGTCTCCCCAGGACACAGCCAGGGGAAGAGAAATGCCAGCATTGCCTTTCTCTCTCCACTTGTCTCAGAGACGGAATCCACGCTCTGGTTGTTCTGCAGAGCAAACCCATTTATACCTCCCCAGCCATTAACTTCATTAAACTCACCCAACCTCCCTCCAGGGAGCACTGGCTCCATCAGAACCACAAGACTAGGGCCGGCCTTAGCTCCATGCTTCCTTCAACAAAAGGGAAATCGGAAGCACAGGGCTGGAGCTGGGGCAAGGGTTTTGGTTAGTATGTAAATGTAAACCACAAGAAATTTCTGTCCCAGATCACCTGCTGGGCTCCAGGGAAGAGAAGAGATTGAGACCCAGCTCCCTGCCTCAGTGCAGCCTGGTCCCAGGTGAGGGGTGTGGGCCCATATCAGATTATTCCCAGCATGGTAATGTGACACATAAGGAACATGGGCAATCAAGGAGGGTTTCACAAAGAGGAGGAGACACGTGGACTGGGTTTTGAAGTGTGAGTAGGAGTTCGATGAGCAGTAAGGGAGGATACACACTTCCAGCAATAGAAATAGCACTGGCAAAGACAAAGCATCTGGATTAGCAGTTCAGTGTAGCTGGAACTTAAAAGAGGATGGGAATGGAGAGGCAGGATTGGCAAGAAGTGAAAGAGGAAAGGTAGGCTAGAGCCAGCGGGTGAGGGACTTTATAAGGCAAAGCAGAGCAAGGTTTCTTGACTGTAACCTTGGAGCTTATGGCTCATTAAAGATTATTTTAAGAAGTGCAACCTCTGGAGTGAGATATGGAAGTGGGTGGAGAAGGGATTACAACAGGAGGAATAGACTTTTATATCCTTCAGGGTTTTTTTTATAGCAAGTCTATTATATTATAATACATTGCTTAGTATTTTAAACTTTCTTGGCGAGGATCACAAATAATTGACAATAGCTGCCCTTTATTACGGACTTATTCTAGGGTTTTACGCACATTATCTTTCTTAATCCTAATGCCAATCCTCTGAGAAGGTACTATTGTCTGCATTTCCCAGATGAGAAACCGAAGGCCTAGGAGAGGAAGTAGCACTGAAGGTCACACACAAACACATGAGTGAGCTGGAGGTCACACAACAGGCAGATGAGCTGGGATTTGAATGTGAATCTGGTGACACCAAGCCCTTACTCCTAACACTCCGCTCCACAGCCTCCTGATAGCACATGCAGACAAGAAGGCAAGGTCATCACAGAAGCCCTGAGGCCAGGAAACAGAGCAAATACAAGGGACGAGCAAATACAAATACGATAGAGCTGGCTTCAACCCATCTGGATGAGCTGGGGCCCTGGGCTGGGCGTCATTGTGCCAGGATGAAATGTATCAGGCATAGATGTGAAGTCCTGAACTTCATGTGTATCCGACCCTGCTGATCCCAGAGGCTGTCCCTGTCCACCCGGACCCTGGGCCAGCAGAGTCAGGCTAAGCCCTCATCCCATTCAATGCAGGGGGCAGTTGGTTGACTTCAGCCCATACTCTCAGGGGACTCCCCTGTTTCTCCTGTTCTTATCACCATCCCTGCTGGTGTTTTCGCTGGTGTCTCAGATGAAGCTGGAGCCCAGGCCTGCGCTACCCCAACCAAGAGACAAGCTGACACAAGGTGAAGCTCCTGGGAAAGAGAAAGAACCCACTGTGTTACTTCAGGGAATTGCCCTAAGTTGATGGTGCTTATGTGTGTGTTTTTCAAGCTGCAGACTTCCATGGAATCTTATCTAGAATCCAGTCTGTGAACTGGCTAAGGTAGGAGTGCTTCTGGTTGAAACTCCCCACCCCCAGGGGTCCCTGAGAGGTCAGAAGGGGTCAGCTGAACCCAGTGTGAAATCCACTGATCCAGATCATTCCAAAGGCCCCAGCCCAGAAATGCTCTGACCTTTCAATTTCAAGTGAATAATCATAGAACAAACACATATTGAGCACTAACAATGCACCAATCTACGGATTTTACACAAGTCCTCTCATTTAATACTCATCACAAACCTATGAATTAGGTTCTATTACATGGCAGAGACTGCCAGCTATCCACCAAACCCTACTCTCCCTGTCCTCTCCTTAGAATTGAAGCCAGGGGCATTGCTAAACTACATTTCCCAGCTTCCCAGCAGTGAAGAAAGGTCATGTGCCCAAGTTCTGTCCATTAGTATGTGAGCAAGAGTCATGAGGGCCACTTCCAGGCCAGGTTAAGGGAGGAACTCCCCACACTCCCTACTTTCTGCCCTCTGGCAGGGATCAAGCCCCCTCAGTGACTGGAAACCTAGTGTTGAAATGGTGGGTTTGATTGCTTCTCAGCCTTTTGGCTACGATCAAGTGTAGTATCTCTTCTTATCAGTTTAATATGTCCTCTGTCTGAGGACAATATATTAAGTAGATTTTGGGAATTAGGAGATGGAATAAGGAGCTTGCTTCATCCACTCCACACATCAACCTGGGATTGCAGTACCTCCAGGAAGGCTGTATGGTGGGTTTGGGTCCCTGAATTACCCAGAGTGGCAGTTGGCTTGGAGCCCACCCCACCCATACTATTACTGAGAGAGAAATTTCTATTCCATTTGAGCCATCCCAGAGTAGCTGTCTGTGATAGCCTTTCATATCCCCATTTCTCAGGGAAGGAAAGTGAAAGAGATTAAATAATTTTGCAAGATCACCCAGCTGGTGGCAGAATCTGGAGCCACTCAGACTGATTCTAAAGTCCCTGTCCTCAAACCATGACACCTCCCAGATATTATGAAGTTAGTAAATGCCAAAACCCGGAGTGCCCAAGAGGTCCGTCAGTGGATGAATGAGTAAATGGTGATACATCCAGACAATGGAATAATGTACTATTTCTTGATAAAGAGAAATGAACTATCGAGCCAGGAAAAGATGGAGGAGCCTTAAATGCATGTTACTAAGTTAAGACACCAACCTACAAAGGCTGCATACTGTATGATCCTATGCATAGGACATTCCAGAAAGGGCAGGACCCAGGGGCCAGTGGTTGCCTAATGACCAGAGGGGAGGAGGATGGGACACATAAGAGGCACACAGAGGATTTTGAGGACAATAAAATTACTCTGGATGATACTATAATGATGATATTTGTCAGAAATCACACAATGTCCAACACCAAGAGTAAACACTAATGCACACAAAGAACCTTAGTTAATGATAGTGTATCAGTTTTGGTTCATCAGCTGTAATAAATGTACCCTACTCATTCACACAAGACGTAAATGATAGGGAAAACTGTGGGAGCAGCTATATGGGAACCCTCTGTACTGTCTGATCTATTTTTCCATAAATCTAAAACTTCTCTAAAATAAAGTCTCAACTGTACAGACACACAGCTTCAAGAGAAATTCATGTAGGCTACCAGTTTGCCTCAGTGGATAGAGTGTCGGCCTGCAGACCAAAGTGTCCCAGATTTGATTCCAGGTAAAGGCATGTACCTTGGTTTCAGGCTTTTCCCTGGCCCGGGCTCTGGTAGGGGTGCATGCAGGAGGCAACCAACCAATGTGTTTCTCTCTCACACATTGATGTTTCTCTCTGTTTTTCCCTCTCTCTTCCACTCTCCCTAAAAATCAATAAGAAAATATCCTCACTGGAAGATTTAAAAAGAAGAAGAAGAAAGAAAAGCTCCTGTATGAAAAGAATAAGATTTGCCCTGGATCATGCACTTTCATTAGCACTCGGTTTATCTTCCCACCAATCTGTGATGTAAATACTGTTTCTACCCTGTTTTTCAGATGAGGCACAGAGAGGCCAAGCAACTTGTCCGAGCCAAAACAAACTATTTGCTTGGCTTCCTGCCATCTTCCCTCCCCAAGACCTGCTCCCTCTCCCTTCCAGTGTCAGTTGCCCTCACCAAGGCAGGTGCCAGGTCCCCAGCCCAGAAGGGCCTACAAATACCACTGTGCCAGGCTCCTATCCTGGTGAGCCATGTTGATGGAAGCTCACAACAGCCCAGTAAGGGGGGCTCCAAGGTCACCTCCAGACTCCCTGTTCAGCGCTCTTCCTCTGCAGAGCACCCGCTCAGAATAGAGCAGTCCCAGTGTCTCTATGCCCCCCAGCAGACATGCGCGCACGCACACACATGCCCTTCCACTTTGTCATTTGACCCACAAACAGACAGACTTTGGATATCCAGGGGACAGGAGGCCCTTACACAAGCTAGCATTTCTCACCAAGAACTGAGGGTCATTCGGGGACATCTCTTTTTTTGCCTGGAGACTGCCAAGATCTCCTTCAAAATGCAAAACCACACCTCACATTAGCACAAGGCATCACTTTCCCTGCTCTCTGTAACCCCTGGAGGGGAGCTGAAGGAATGGATCAAATTCTTAATTTAAGAAAAAATCCTCGGCGCCTGCATGCGGCGGAAGGGCCATTTCGTATGTTGAAGGTGTCATGAAGAAAGTGCTGCCTGGGAAAATTCTGATTTGACTCCAGTTTCTGAGATGCTTGGCCTCCCCTGTGGAAACAAAAAAATAGGACCTGATGCAGCTTTGGCATTTAAAGGACATCAATGCAACCCAGGGACAGCGTGCTGTCTGAGGGTCAGGGCTGAGGACTATCCATTACCTTAGACAGGGTAAGACGATTCAAAACCTGCCAGGCTTTATTAAACATACTGATTCCATCCCACTGTCCGTGGCGAGGACAGCAGCGGGGTCCAGAGAGCAGCCTCGAAAGCTAAGAATGCTGATCACAATGAGACGCCCACAGCCTGCAACCTCCTTTTTCTGAAGGGCCCGTCAAGGCTCTGGCATCAAACAAGCCTCGCCATTTCCTGGCTGTGTGATCCCAGACATATTACTAGCATCTCTGAGCCTTCATTTCCTCTGCTGAAAAAGACTGTCAAGTAATTACAGGTTTCAATGAGAGAATGCAGGAAAACATATGGAAACATTCAATAAACTTAAGTGGTTTTGTGACGACAGTGATTACTTGAGAGCTAGCCAGATTCTTACAGTTGATCTCATCCAATCCGCTCGTTATACAGACAAGAAAATGGAGGCCCAGCATGAGGAAGGGACTTGCCCAAGATCACACAGCAAGTTAGAAGATCTGGAACCAGAACCTATGTCCCTGCTGCTTAGGCCAAGGCTTTCTCCACTGCACACACTTGTCATGTTCTGCAAGCATCTTAGAAGTATAAAAAATATCCTAACAGCCCAGCCACCATGGCTCAGTGGTTGAGCATTGACCTGTGAACCAGGAGGTCATGGTTTGATTCCAGGTCAGGGCACATGCCTGGGTTGTAGGCTTGATCCCCAGTATGGGGTATGTGGGAGGCAGCTGATCAATGAGTCTCTGTCATCATTGATGTTTCTGTCTCTCTCCCTTCTCCTCTGAAATCAATATAGATAGATAGATAGATAGATAGATAGATAGATAGATAGATAGATAGATAGATATAGATATATATTGATATATATATATTGATATATATATATATATATATATATATATATATTTTTTTTTTTTTTTTTTTTTTTTTTTTTAATATCCTAGCCCTAACCAGTTTGGCTCAATGGATAGAGTGGCGGCCTACGGATTCAAGGGTCCAGGTTGGATTCTGGTCAAAGGCATGTACCTTGGTTGCAGGCACATACCCAGTAGGGAGTGTGCAGGAGGCAGCTGATCATGTTTCTAACTCTCTATCCCGAGTTAGTTCCCGAGATTGAGAGTGGATGGATACAAGAGAAATCCTCTCTAACCCTGACTGGGGTTCATCCCCGGGCTAAGGCACTTTCTCCTCACTGGTGGCAGCTGCTTTCAAGCACCTGAGTGGGTTGTGTGTTTTTCCTGTGGAGAGAAGCCAAGACTTGGCAGTTAAATTTCTGAGAATGAATCAAATGGCAGGAGGAACCCTACTGCACCCTTCCAGTGTTCAGAATGAAGGCAGGCAGAAACAAGAGAGACAGGGGCTTTTCACGATGAAAAGGGAGAGGGAGAGAGAGATGGAAACAAAAAGAATGAGAGAGACTCATTGACTGGCTGCCTCCTGCATGCCCCATACTGGGAATCAAGTCAATAACCCCGGGCATATGCTCTGACCAGGAATTGAACTGTGATCTCCTGGTTCCTAGGTCAGAGCTCAGGAGCACTGAGCCGGAGGCAGCCAGGTGCTCAGAGTAACAGGAGGCTATAGGAGCTGGAGTTCCTCTCCCTAAGCATTTTTCACCAAGAACTGAGGGTCATTCGGGGACATCTTTTTTTTTTTTCTTTTTTCTTTTTTCCTGGAGACTGTCAAGATCTCCTTCAAAATGCAAAACCACACCTCACGTTAGCACAAGGCATCACTTTCCCTGCTCTCAGTAACCCCTGGAGGTTACAGGCTGAAGCAAGAGAGAAAAATGGGCTTTTCACAGTGAAAAGCTGCTATGGATGATCAGGCTGCACAGAAGGCTAGAGGGAGCCCCAGAATTCTCACTGCTGATGAAGCTAAGTGGGGAGGAGGGCAGGAAGGAGGTGCCGTGATGGCTCAGAGAAGACACGCTGGCTGCAGAGTTGGAGGTGAAGGTCTGGCTTAGGCCCTGGAATAGGGGTGGTGCTCAGCAAATTGAGGTCATACCCCACAGCATTCCAGAGTTCTGGGACTGAAATAGCTCAGCCCCACCCCACAAAGCTAAGCCCCAAGGTCTCACAGAATAGGCTCAGTCTGCATGGGGAAAATGGAAAACGGTTCTCTGAGCCGCTGTTGAAGAATCTACTCAGATGGGCAGCCTGGTTACTAGTCCCCCAGGCTTGGTAGGGCCCCAAGGAAATTGGGAGATCAGCACAGAAGGGAGGCTGAGCTCCGTAGGCCAGAGAAGAGGTTCATGTGAACAGATTGGTTTGATACAAACACCTACTCCTCCTGCCTCTATAGAGTCTGGGCCAGGAGGTGGGAACCAGGGGAGAGCGGGACATAGCTATTGACAGCTGGAAGGGTCTGTGAGAATATGGAGCAAGGATAGACTCCTGCAGAGTTCATGAGCTTAGGGAACAGGCTGGACTCCAGGATCTTCCTCATCTCTAAAACAGTAGGTATCTGCCCAACTAGCGTGGCTCAGTGGTTGCACTTCGACCTTGAAACCAGAAGATCACAGTTCGATTCCTGGTCAGGGCATATGCCTGGGCTGTGGACTTGATCCCCAGTGTGGGGAGTGGAGGAGGCAGCCAATCAATGATTCTCTCTCATTATTTATGTTTCTATCTCTCTCTCCCTCTTCATTCCTCTCTGAAATCTAATAAAAACATTAAAATAAGTAAAACAGTAGATATCACACTCTAGAGAAAGTCACCCCTGAAGAAAAGAGGGCAACCCTCGGCTCTGTTCTTGCTACATGTGCCTTGTCTAGAAAAATGCCTTAGTCTCACTGAAACCAGTTTGGCTCAGTGGATAGAGCGTCGGTCTGCGGACTGAAAGGTCCCGGGTTTGATTCCGGTCAAGGGCATGTACCTTGGTTGCGGGCGCATCCCCAGTGGCGGGGGGGGG